CAACCACCCCCAACAACTACCCAGCCCCCAACGACAACTAATAACAATCCGCAACCTATGAATTATGCTAATGCAGTGCGCCCAGTTACGAAAGCTACTGGCAGTCATGAGCGAAATCCTACTATTGAGCCTATTACGTTACGACGTGCACAATTCTTTCAAGGCCAGCCTACAATCTGTTTTACAGAAGCAGAAGTTGAGCGCATGAATCAAATTGAAGGTTTACAATATGCAGTAGTTTGTAAATTTTCGTATGGCTGGCCTGATCTTAATGAAATACGTCGTATAGTTCCTATTCAATGTGGTATTAAGGGTGAATGCAAAATTGGATACTTGCGTGATAGGCATATTTTGATTAGACTCACATTGTGGCAAGATTTCGTAGACTTCTCATCCAAAGGAGTTTATTATATTAAAGATAAGTATGGTGAGGAGTATCAGATGAGAACCCTTATTTATGATTCTAAATTCAAAGTAGGTGAGGAAACACCCAAGGTCATGGCTTGGATTTCTTTCCCTAATTTGCTGCCAACTTACTTTGTTAAAGAGTGTTTGTTTTCATTAGCATCAGCAGTTGGAAAACCGTTGCATCTTGATCAAGCTACTGTAAATAAAACTAGGCCTAGTTGTGCTCGAGTGAAGGTTTTAATTGACCTTTTATCTGACCTGCCTAAGAAGGTACGCATGGACATTGTGAATGAAGATACTGGGGATATTAGAACAGAATGGGTAAACATAAACTATGATTACTTGCCAAAGTACTGTAAAGAATGCAAGTTGCAAGGTCATGACATATTTGAGTGTTGGAGGTTGCATCCTGAACTTATGGCAAATAGAACTGAGGAGAAACAACATAATAAAGATACAGTTTCCCAAGGTAACAAGTCTAATGCGCCTTTAAAGATTCTGTCCAGTGGTAAAGTGGTGGGAAATCAAGGTGCTCAATGGATAGAAGTTAAGAAGAGAAGAGTACAAGGTATAGAGAAGCAGATAGGCAATATGACCACTAATGGAAAAACAATAGTTCCAGTTGATCAGCAGAAGGGAGGTATAACAGGCAAAGAGGAAATTAATAAAAGGAGTGTTCAAGATATGGTTCCAGCTGATAAGAGAAGAGAACAGGTGCAAACTGATAATAATTTTGCCATATTAGAAGTGGAGGAAAGTGATGACAATGCCAACAACCAATTGGCTTTGGTGGAGACTATGAATGCAGTACCTGTGTCAAAGGGAACAGGAATTTTAAATCCTGTAGCACCAGCATTTATACCTACTTTTCCTGGGAATACAAAGAGAAGGAAGGATGGGGCAAGTAACACAAAAAATATGCCAGCTGTTAGTGTAAATCAGGCAGGAATCAACAACCAAAAAGGGATGGAAGAGAATAAAAATAAAGTCAGCACAGATCAGAAGGTGAAGGAATCCACTACAGCATGGGTACAAAGAGCCTTTAAAATAAATGAGGTTGGAATAAATACCTCAGTTCAAGAGGTACCATCTCAAGACACTATGGTGGAGGCAAATCTGGCACAAAATAATCAGGAGGAAAATATAGTGGATACTGACTTTGAAGTGTTCAAAAGTAATGAAATGATCAAATGGAGTGGAAGCAAGCTATGGGCAAATCAGACTGAAGAGGATGCAGATGAAGGACAAATACCTGATGCAATGCAAAGTGAGGAGGAAGATGGTGGGGATACATTAGAAGAGGAGGATCCAAGTGTAAATGATAAACAAAAAGATACAGTGGCTAAGGCAGCAGTTAATGAAGAGGCAGATCTACAGCAGCTAAACAAGGAGAAAATAAGTACCAATGATGAGAATATAGGGAACACTTTGGAAACTAATAAGGTGGTGGATGGTTGCAACATTGATCCAGGGGGAACAACTTCTGACCATATTGGTGGTGCAGATGCAGATCCAACTCCAGTTTCTAAGACCAACAAGGGTCAGGCTGTACAAAAATCACAGCAGAGTCCAAGTGTGGTAGTTGATAAAGAAAGGGAAGCAGCAGAAGTGAACATAAAGAAGAAAATGCAAGAGTTAACTGGAAGCATAGACCCATTGGCTCTTACACAAGTGCAGAAGACTAATTTGCAAGGTGATAATGCTGCAGTTATTACTGGGGCACCTCAGAGGGACACTGAGAAAGCAGTAGTGCAAATAAATGTGAAAGGTACTGCTGCAGATGAAGAACATGAAGGTATAGGCAAGGATATGGATGAAGAGTCTACTGCCCAAAATTTCATCAATATTGCTAAACAAGGAGATCTATCCCCTAGACATATTGAGCAAGCTAAATCTGCAGCAAAAGGCAAGAAGAAACAACAGAAAGACAATTCATCTGTCCCACCAGGTGGAGTCCAAACAAGAAGAGCTCTATCCAAGTCCATTAATCAGTGATGGATGCAATCATATGGAATGTCAGGTCTGTTAATACAATGCAGGCCTTTGAGAGATTAATTCTTCTGCATAAGAAACATCATTTTGAATTCATTGGAATCATGGAGCCTATGCAGCAAGCTAACAAGGTTGAAAGGTACAGAAGCAGAATAGGACTTGCACAAGCAGTAGTAAATGTGTCAAATAAAATATGGGCATTCATTGATGAGGTTTATGAAGTTGACATTGTGTACAATATGGTACAGCAGCTGACATTGAAGTTATTTCACACTGAAACCCATGTAGAATTAATCCTTACACTGGTATATGCCAAATGTGATCACATAGAGAGAATAGAATTATGGGATTCACTGTATGCAATGGCCTCTGACATGACATCTCCATGGCTAGTGGGAGGGGATTTTAATGTCATATGGGATGAGGAGGAGAAATTTGGTGGATTACCTGTGTCTATAAATGAAGTAGATGATTTCAGACATTGTATCAATACTTGCAATCTGTCAGATTTGGGGTTCAAAGGAAGTATTTTTACTTGGTGGAATGGAAGATCAGAGGATGATTGTATCTTTAAAAGGTTAGATAGGTGTTTTGGGAACATAGAATTGCAGCAAACATTCCCAGGACTGGAGGTTACTCATATGTCAAAGACTGGCTCAGATCACTGTCCAATGCTATTGAAGTGTGACATTGAAAACCCTCCAATCAAGAAGCCTTTTAGATTTCTAAACTTCTGGACAAAACATGAAGCATTCAAGACAGTGGTGAAGGAGAACTGGAATGCAGATTTTAGTGCAAATCCATTTGTACTATTCAATCATAAA